TAAAAAATATCTTTAGAACTAAATTTTTTGTTCCAAGAGGTAATAAAACCGTTTCAGCAAATTGTCACACAAGTTTTTGACAACAAATGTTAACTTGATCCTGGTGCTTACTTGTTACTTGAGAAGCGAGGGTGGAAGTTGTTGAATTATCTAAAACGTATTTTTTATTCATTATCTAAAAGGAATTACAATATAAGTATCTTAAGTCTACACCCTGGTCTACACCCTTTTGCGCCTATACCGTTGGTAATTTATAAATTCAATACCTTGCATAAATAGGAGAGAAATAACAGCACATTTCAACCCTCTTCGCGTTTCGAGCACAAAACAATCTGTTTCAAAATATGGGAAACGATGCCTTTTTGATATTTTATCGTTACAATCCGCCACACAACACTTTTTACGGTCACATAACTTGTTCCTATTTTAAATCTTTCAAAAGTCAAAATTGGCATGTGTAAAACCATGTGTACGTATAAAATTGACGGTAAAAATATTTCCTGTAACGAGCAAAATTACAGGTTTTGCAAAAAAATATTTGAGTCTGCGATAAATAGTTCTCCGTACAACCACGGGAAACGCTGTAATCAGTGACAATTTAGCGCCATTTATGTTTCTGTTCTGTGAAGGTCTTATTCTGTATTAGTTATGTGTACATTAAGGAGAGTACTGATGTAACCAGTAATTCATTAGAGAAGCGCGTCTAGGCACTTTTGTAAGAAAACATAAACCGAAAAAAGAAATTACTCAGAAGTGATGACAATTTTTCGAAAACTTTTATTGAAGATCAATTAAAACATTTAGAATTGGGTACACACAAGGGTTTTATGTGGAGTGGTGAAACGATTGAAAACGCGATGCAATTATATTTTTGGCTTAAACGATACGCTCAGAAAACTTGCCCTATCCCAAAGTATCCGCACAATCCAAGAGCGACTACAAAATACACACTTTTTACATACTTTCCAACTGTTGCTCAATTTCAAATTTCGCAGTTCCCAAAATGAACCAAAATAGCTGCTATTCGCGTTACTTTAGTAATCTAGGGACTTTAAGTATAACATTTAGAAAATGCCCTCTAGCGCCTTTACTTTGAACCCCACGCAAAAAGTGTATAGAAGCCTTTTTGTAGATCTATCAAGACACATCTTTTTTGTAATTAACACGAGAATTGACAATTTTCACTCTCATGCTTACTTTTAGAGAAAAATGAAATAAATAGTTTAACTTTTCAACATCTCAAAAACAAAGGAACTCACAAAAAAATTGTACCTAATGAACTTTTTTAAGCCATTTTGGCAAATTTTTTCAAGCCGTTATGGCTCTTTTAAACTTTTGACACCCTCAGCAATCATGAAGATGGTTACGGATCAAAACCAAAATAGAACGTTTTCGATTCCCCATACCACCCTATATGCACCCCAAATTTGGTCCAAATCGGTTCAGGGATTTTTTAGTTATCATGTTCACAAAAAACGAACCAAATACACACACCCACAGACGTCAAGCTAAAAATCACTTTTTTGGGGTTTGTGTGCTTGAAAAGGTCCAGAAAACGCAATATTGGCATATCGAACATTTATCACGATACTTTGTGGGTAGTTGGAAAGTAAAAAGGTATCAAACCAATTATCCTAACTAAGACTCGTTGTTCTTTCTCGCATTCAGTTCAAATAGAAAACGTAAGAATAAAATCCTTTTAATCCAGACCCTTAATTGCTTCTCCAAAATTAATTTAAAAAGCTCACTTTTAATTAGACAAGAAATCAGAAAAATGTCGTGAAAAATTTGTTACAGTACTCTCAGATTATGTTCTAGACGCTTATTTTTTATACTAGACCCGGTTTATTTCGGAACTCCTTAATTAAAAGAGCAAGAATTAATAGATTCATTAAAAGTATACGATTTCATATCATAGGAATATACACATATTTCGAACAGGCAGTAGGTACGATACAAAATAATATAAAAGCCAGAAAAAAACTTTGGAACATAATTGACTCTCCAACTTCTCTTACATTTTTTATTAAATGAATGTATAAAGTTTACACTTTTCAGCACGAACCGTACATAACTCAAAGATTGTTGTAAATTATTAAACGATTTCATACACGTCAGCAATAAGTGCACTTTCGTGACCAAATGAATTTATTCGGGCAATTCACATCAAGTGTTTTCTGCAAAAGTATGCCAGGTAAGTAGTAGTTGAGGATCCCACTGGGCACTACTAGCTCAGATCAAACAAGAAAACGACTTTGTTTTTCAGTTATCTAATTTGATTAGTAGCTGCCAAGTAGGGTTTAAGAATTTATGAAAAAATTAACACTAATTCAATATTAGGTATTACATTATATGAGTTTGTATGGAAACATAGTAAATACTCCGTGCCAACATGTAGGTATTTTTTTCCTCTTTATAATAGCGTTAGTTCAGCAAAGTTTAAAAATTAATTCCGAAAGTTTAGAGTATAGGCGACCGCTTGGTTAGTACACTTTGAAACTGCTTCCCTGTGGGTTTTCCGCAATTTTCAAATTAAAATATAGTACCTATGCATAACAGCTAGGCACAAGAAAAAGTTAACAAAACCTAATTAGGAATGAAACAATTAATTCGTCCCGAATTAAAACATATTTAGGAAGAACAGTCCAATACTTACCTATAAAAGCTCACTTCTCTATTCCAGTATTTCAAACGCAATCTAGTTCTCGCATCACACTTTTAAGTCTCGGACATTAGTCATAACTACTAACACTTAGGCCGCACTGCGTGACGTCACATAGTAACTCCCGTGGAGAACTGAAAGGGATAACCTGTAGCTCTGTTGGTGGCGTCGCGGTGGCTGTACACGACGCAGAATTGTAGTTTATACAGCATATCACCGAACTTCGATGGCATCTAAAATTTGTGTTAGGAAAACCACTGATGTGTGATTTTGATATAACGCCCTCCCGTAGCGCAATTATCTAACCTTTATAGTTTCTTAAATTACGTACGTACAACCGGGTTTCTTCATTGCGAGCAAAGATCAGAGTATGATCTTTGTTGCGAGCCATATTTAGGTACACAAATCGAAAATGGAAAGCAAGGACCATTATTTATAAACATATTTTAAACAGGAAACGTTGCAAATTTAATAATTTCTTTCTACGTAGTTAGTAAAGTCAAATCGATTTGAAAAAGTTTTGAGTTTCTCTGCGAGTGCTGACAGTATGGTTTATTAAATAGCAAGAAGTCACTTGACATATATCTTCGAAAATTCTTTTGAAGTAGAGAAATGGCTGAAATCTGTAGACGGCACAGGCACATTCTATTGGCATGATTCACATACAACGCAAAAGCGCATTGTGTACAAGCTGTGTCAATGGAATAGTTTGCAAATGAATGGAAAACAAACACATGCTAATGAAATAGTGTGTTGTCAAAACAGTGTAGGTACCTAAAGGTGAAAATATTCGACAATAAAATGTTCGCGTGACAAGTACGTATTCGATTTTACGGATTTACTCCCAAATTTCGTGCTCTTATGGTTACTGTGTCAGTTAATTTTTAAAATTTGACGCGAAATAACAGTAAACCACTACAGGTTAGGTACAGAGATTATTTTAATTTGAATTTGTTTCAGTAAGATTCAATTTAGATAGTATTGGGAAAAGATTAGGTGTGATATAACATTTAAGCTGCTTTTACATTTTCAACGTGTGCATACGGACCCAGTAAATATAGAGTATTGTGTAATTTGGGCAAGCCGAGTGTGTGATTGAATTTGATATTTTTTTTGTCTTTTGAAGTCATTTTCCGTGATGAACGTAAGTATGAATATCTCGAAAATAGATTTTAAAATGTAGTAGTTCACTAACTATTCCTGCCTAAAAATATATCTAGAAGCCTTCGTTCCTTATCGCCGATAGCTCATCCTTCATAGCGCCTCCATGTTTACTGGCATTTCTAGAATATTAGCTACAATAATAATTATAGGACATGACTATGACTGCAGAATTCGGTTGCGTGACTAAAGTAATAAAGGCGAAAACCTACGTTTCCAGGCTCCAGCGTGTCTAATTACTTCTTAAAGGAATGGATATTTTAACTGGTAAGTTACCCAGTAGAAATGTGCATTTTGTCAGGCATTCATAAATTATTTAAATTTACCATAGGAGTACTTCATACTAATTTCTTTCATTGAACATTTATTAATTGAATGGAACACATGCGTGGGGTGTAAATTGTCTCGAAATAATTGCAGAACTATAGCCGCTGTGTGTATGCAGACTTAATTAAAGTTTTAAAGGAGATGCAATATGGTCCTGTGTCCATGATGACTAGAGTCGTTCGACCCCTCAACGTCACTCAAGCCATACCACACGTGAGATGAACCTAACGATGCTGGAAGAGAGGCCGCTCTAATTGAAACCACGTCCGGCTAGGATACCCCCAACATGGATCGTCTCAGTTGAACTAAAGCGGGGCTAAGTATTTGGTGTGCCGTCTTTTCGTCTGTTTAACATCCTTTACAAAATGGCGGTGTGTTTGTTTAGCTTACAGTGGCAAAGAAGTATGCCCACGAGTAACCTCAGATTCTTAGCCCTGTGCAAAAACGGGCCAGGCTATGAGATGGTCCTTTGAAGGTTTCTCCCGCATGGCGACAATCTAACATCATGTTCCACTTAGCCCTGTGCTTGGTTTAGGTGTCTTGAGTTATCAAGTTGCTTACAGTTGCAATTGTAAGTAGTAGAAGAGCCGGCTCTATATCATAAAGCATCTGTTTTGAGTCCTGTCGTGGCAGAAAGCATGGCCGCGTTCCTGCCGACTAAGTTTCATTAACTAAGTGAACTAGCCTACGTAGTGATGTAAAATACCCATGTATTTAAAAGTGAGGGTAAATACCCAATTTATAAGTACCTACCCGCTGAGTATTTACCTGGCCCACATCGCTAAGCCTACGGGGTTTAATGAAAATTTCATGATGTGTTTAGCAGTATTTGTTTAATAACCATGTCCAGACATTATGTACAATCAAAGCATTTTTAAAAACCATTTTCTGTTCATACTTTAAAGCTTTATACAATTAAATACGGTTCATTTGCCATGAAACTGCACCGTTTTCACTCATGAAGTAGTCAGCAAACTTATCCCTCAGTTTTGTAGCCTTCTTTGTGGGCTGCTCCCTTGAAGCGTCTAGGTCGAACAAGCCTTCAACTGTCAGAGTATCTTCTATTTTAAACCCGTCTCTTTCCCTGACGAAGTTGTGGAGCAAACAACAGACTTTAACAATGTCTTCACACAAACTCAAATGGACATTTAGGGGCCGGTGAAAGATTCGCCACTTGTTAGCAAGTATGCCAAATGAACACTCAATGTTCCTACGCGCTCTGCATAGACGATAGTTGAACACTCTTTTCTTTACGTTGAGCATTTTTCCTGCATAAGGTCGGAGTAAGTTCTTTGAAAGGCCAAATGCTTCGTCCCCGACGAACACAGTGGCATAGTTTCTGGTAAACCTGTGAATGATTGTTGTGGAGGGGGGATGTTCATCTTGTTTCCAGTTAGCGTTTTAAAAAAAACACTCTCCTTAAACACAGTTGAATCGGATGACTTTCCATACGCACCAACGTCTATAAAAATGAATTTATATGATGCGTCACACATAGCAAGCAGTATTAAGGAAAAGTAGTTCTTGTAGTTAAAGTAGAGAGATCCACTTTTTTCCGGTTTTACGACTCGAATATGTTTGCCGTCAATCGCTCCCAAACAATGAGGGAAATTCGTCTTCTCATAAAACTCGGCAGCAGTTTTCAGCCAGTATTCTTCTGTCAATGTAGGAAAGCAGATTTGTCTCATTCTGTTCCAAATAGCTTTGCAAACTTGGCGTACAATCACAGATATCGTAGGCTGGCTTATTCTGTACTGAAAGTGCAGATCGGTCATTGATGTTCCAGTAGCAAAGTATCTGTAACCAGAAAAATAAATACACTTTAAGACTTCGGTAATAAAAATACTAGGTGTACGCTTATTTTTCGCGTAAGAGAATTTCGCTCGCTCATTCAATTATATTGGTATTGCATTGTTTTTTGTTTTGTTTGTTTACAGTAACGATTGTACAGAAAAAGTGGAAGAACATTCGTTCTTGTTACTCAAGAGAGCTGCTCATGCAGAAAGAGAGAAAGAGCGGATCTGGTGCTTCCACAAGAAAGAAATATGTGTACTTTGACTTACTACGCTTTTTGGAAACTATCTCTAAGAAAACTAAAAAACAGCATGGAAGATAATTCAACAGCTGATGTAAACGAATTGGAACCGGAACAAGAGGAGCACGAATTTGATACACCCACAGCGACAATAGAAAGCGGAAAGAAACAGGGTGGTTCAAGGAGGAGGACTAGAAACGAAGAAGATGACTTCTTGACCACCTTAAAAAAAATGGCAATGGAAATTAAGGAAAAAAGTGTTGGACAGGACGAGGATAAATTATTTCTGATGTCTCTTCTGTCCGAAATTAAGCAAGTTCCCCCTCAAAGAAAACTCAAATTGAGATCGGACATAATTTCTGCAATAGCCGCTGCACAACAAGGAACGAGTCCCCAATGGCCGGTTACTGTCCCAACTCCGACACATAACTTTCCGCATATGTTTCCCCCTCAACAACATCCCAGTCCCTCTCAACAATATCAGAACCTTCATCAACAATATCAGAACCCTCCTCAACAATACCAGAACCCTCAACAATATCAACCATTGACAACTCTGCAACCCCCACGTAACCAACAAGGCTCCAACTTGTCTTCCTCTGAAGAATCAACACCAATAGTGTCCCCAAGTTTCTCTCAAATGAGTGACTATGTTACTTATGAATCTTATGATTAAGTTTAAATGATTAAGTTAAAAGTTAAATGATGAAGTTTAAATGTTAAATGTTAAATTCAGTTATTATTTTTCTGTACTTTTTTTTTAAAATAAATCATGAAATCATTCATAAATCATAAATAAATCATTTTAAAAGTTGTACTTACCTCAATGTGAGAGCCAATTTTTCTTCTGCAGGGATGCTTTTGTTTAGAGGGGTTTCTGGCACAGTGATATCATCTTTGATGTGTCCCAGCAGTTCATCAAACGAAGGTTTTGACATTCGAAAATAATTAAAAAACTTACTTCCACTTGCACAAAGATCGTCAAATAACGTATAGTACAGTCCTTTACTATGTCTGGTCATCAGCATAGGATGCCTCCGAAACCTCCTAACTCTTTTCCTTCTCTTCTTGATAAGAAGAGCTAGTAGTAGCACGTCCTCTGTACACAGCACCATTGTAGCTACTGATGACTGTTTCCAGCGGAAATTTCCACAGTACACTCCTGGTTGCTCCACCGGTGACCGGCACAGAAAACCAGCGAGTAACCAGTCACTCCACCGGTTGCGCAACCGGTGGAGTAACTGGTCGCCCTGGCTAATAGCGCTCTAAGGCAGACGGCACATATTATATTTTGGTTTTGTGACTCAGACTACACCAACCAAACACAGTAAACCCTACGAGTGTAAATTACAAAATTAGCATGACATCAACGTTTGCTCAGCGAAATGGACCTGTATCATTAAAATAATGATTCAAATTTATAAAATCAAATACTCAACTTTCCTAAAATATGTATTAATTTGTAGAAAAAAAAGCAGTTTTAAATTACCTTTTATTTACGCTATCGAGGTAGGTAATAAACGAGGTAATAAAGTACCCAGACCCACTAGCACTAAATTACTTACTTGACGGAAGTTTTACTAATCCCATGGTACCAGACGTAATTTTTACGGTCGCCCTTGCATGTGTGTTTAAAAATGGTGTTGAGTGCTTTCCCTCGACAGCTTATTCATTATACGTTCTTGCCGTTCGTAATTTACGCCATTTAACCTACTGGGAAAAGGTTTGAAATGTAATCCCCTTATGAATTTTCATACAAAATTGTGCCGTTTACGTTCTGCAAACGAACAAATAATTTTGTATAGGACATCTAATGCAAAACCTACTTACGTATTATGCTCATGGACAATTGCTTATGTCCACGATTGAGTGACTTCCGTTGAATTTGAATGAAAGCTTAGTGGGACATGAAGGATCGACTGTGATTATTTATCTTCCATTGTATCCGGCCTTTAAATTGATTTTGAAACCAGTTATTTATAGAAGTTAACTTGCAAATATTTATCTCAGAGTAAGAAATAAAGATAGAGATGCCTTGAAGCTTATCAAAACGTGCCATCATCTCGTCGTGTTTCTAAATATTGCAGGAAGCGAACTTGTCACATTTCGCCAGACGATTTGTACGGGAATATTAATAACACATACCTATAATATATGAAAGGATCTAAATGGATTTTTAAATATTTATAAAAGAGTTGTGAAAAACAAACAATTGTAAGTTGAAATTAAATTTATAATTATTACTGTGTAACGACGGCAACGCTGTAGCGGTTTGACATGAGAGGATTTCTGATTATTTATACAAAACGTAATTTCTGCATGTTTAGCTCATTTTATAGATTAAAATTTATTCCACTGTGTTTAATAATTTATCAGCACCCTTTGACATGGGGAAAGGGTGTACTGTTTGTGGAATTAGAGCAGTTACTAATCTTTACCTTTCGGCCTCTGCTCTCAACTGTCAAACTGTGGATTATGTTGGATCAAAACAAATATAGCGTATATGCGTCCTCTACCTTTATTTCTTACTCGATATTTATGTTGCACTAACCTAAGTGTGGTGTCACACTATGCGTTTTTACCGCTCCTGCTAAAATGGATGCGGACTGACAGCATATGATGCGGTTGCATCCTGGTGCGGCGAAACCGCATATACGAGTATGTGACTGGTACCATTTAATAACGTGTGATATTATCATCCCGTCAAACCGCGTCCGTTTTAGCGGGAGCGGTAAAAACGCATAGTGTGACACCACACTTAAAACATTCATAATGTAGAATACCCTGGAGATGCTCCCAAAAGATGTTTTCCTATAGGTAAAACAAAATCCTCTGCAAATGATTTTCAAGTAGGTATAGGTATTAAATTTCTGTTACTTATATGAGGAATGTTGGTTGATCACATTCATTTACTTATACACTGTGTCCAAGATAAGAATGTCAATCATGGAGATTTGTTTTCGGATGTTATTGAACAGATGCAAAAAAAATTTTTAAAAAACACACACTTTCTCATTGCCACTACAAGACACCGTGGAGAAATTTTCAATACAACGTTTCGTTTCTGAGAAATCATCATCAAATTTTTAAAATAATCCAGTAGGTTCTGACTTGATTTGTTAATCTCTTGTTTTTGTTGATTTTGTAATGTTTGTAGGACATAAAAAAACGAGTCGGAACTTGCCGAAATGGATCTCATCAAATACGGAATTGGTTTCTACAAACACTTCCACTTTTGGTGCAATAAAAAATTTAATTATATTGAAACTATCTTCTTTTTTGTTTAACCCCTAACTATCTCTTAGAAATTTTTTGTAATCCAAATGCTTGCATTATATTAAGAAAATATCGAATTATCAATTTAGAACATGCATATACATAGGTAATAATAAATAGTGTGTTAATTAAATAAAATGACAACTTCGAGACCTTATTTTAGCTCACACTTATAGGAACAATTTTAACCTTTGTAGCGATGAACCGATGGTTTATAGTTCTCTTCCAGTGAAGTAGGGCAAATTACCCCTAGCACTTCCAATAATTTGAAGTAAATTTTAGACGTTTCACGCTTTTCCGGCATAACACTATTTTTTTTCTGTCATCATCGTGGAAAAGCGAGTTACTTTCGTGGAGGTGGGGATGCACTGGGTTTTTTCATGGGGTTGGCCATATCTTTGAATTAAATTATCGAACTTACTAATGCGAAATTTTTCTATACAACAATTAATGATTCACGGCTAGCTCTATGAAGTGAAAATTTCTCCTTTTTCCTTTTCTGAAAATATTTTTTACACTTGGTTTTCTGATTTGTTTGCCGGCATCAATAAACCCGAGATTATCATAATGTACTTTGAATATATTTACGAGATAAAATAGATCCAATCTCCACCCCGGTTAGGCGGTTACATGTTTTCTGTTTACATATTTTATTAAGAATAGGAAATAAATCTAATTCGTTGCAAGTTTTTTTGAACTAACCTTACTTCAATATCAAATACAATAACCGTAGGTATAGGAAAAATGTTTATACAAAATACACCGTATGGCTAATTAAATCGAACCCATTTATATGGATATTTTCTTTCTTGAGCTTTTATCAAACCAACTTTAAATGAAAATATATGTTTTAGCAAATCCCATTCCAACGACAATGACAAAATCTATCTAATACAAATAACTTCAATTGGCCGAGAGATTGGTATCTTAAAAAACAAATCCTAATTTTCCTTTAGAATATTACCATAAATGTATACAGTTTACGACAAACCATAAATTTTACAAAATTTAAAGTTAGTGTACCTCAAAATGTTTTTGGCGGACGATGATTTTCATACAAAAAGACAAAAAGATTTGGAATCGATCACTCTATATACTACGTACGTTTGAAAAATTTTGATTTCTCAAGTTTTAACGGTAAAGGTCAAACCCTGTTTGTGACGTTCACTGTAAAAAATCTAGGCACCGAAGGTATAATCCTTGCTCCTGGCTGTCTCTATGTATGCGCCGGAACGCGTGTATTCGAAGTGTTTTAAGTTTGGCCTACTTGCGTAATAATCACTTTTGGCATTAATTTGCTTACTCGTTTAATACTATTTTACTCGTAACACTCGCGAAAAAGTTCCATGGATAATTCTTGATACTTCGAACTCGAAATTTCTTCTGATTTGACTCTTAGGGCCAAAAGCAAAGCCTTCCGCCCTGGCTACTCTCGAATGAATTTTTTCGCGGCGAAGGGTGACGTTAACCCCTTTTTGGTAAAAGACCGAATCCCTTCAAAAACTCCTCCGGATTATTCCCTACCTAGGTATCTTTTTTTGATTTAATTAACACCCTTTCAACATGGCGCCTAGTACCTCTGATTCGATTAATTATCTGCACTGAAATATCGACAATTTGGAGCGATTGTCGGAACCATTGCCCGGCCACTGTGTAACTCAATGACGCACAAGGAAACGATCGCCAAATTTAATCGAAAATAGAGCTTATAAGCATTGAATGCAGTCCTTTTTCCTTTTATTCAACGGGTTGTAATTGAATATTTTTATAAGCA